ATTAAATTCATAATTATCACATTATACAAAGATAAATCAGATTTATAACAGTACGAATATGTATATGGTTCCATCGCACAATCCGGACACTCTGGTGCTCATGTCCTTCATAATTCAAATTTTGTTGAGATGAATCAAAAAGCAAATCATTAATTTTGGACACAGAATCATAATACCAATTTGTTACAAAATCTCATACATATAAATAAATCAATTTTGTATAAATTATATTAAAGTACTTTATATTTTAAGTGTAATCACCTTTATATGATTTGAGTGACTGAAAGAGAAAACCTGAAATCATTTCACTCATTATCATCACAGTGAATTCTATCCAAGGAGTCCTCAGGAGTAAAATTCACTGCGACGATAATGAACAGATTTTCTCTTTCTGTCACTAATTTAAAAGCTAAAACGAACTCCTTTAAATGAATACCTATAGTCTGTTTCGAGGCATTAGATTACATGAACTAAACAATATTCTTGAGAGTCGAAAAAAAAAGACATTGACCAATTTAGCATTTCTAAAGTTAAGACTTGGATTCAATCAATTTTATATACGTACGTATCTACTAATCTTACGAGAAATCCTATAATCATATACAGCATTGGAAAAAAAGATTATAATGCAAGACATCTAATTGTGTCGAAAAATAACTGCTTGCAATTAAGTTTAATAACTTTTTTTGAAAATATATATGCAGTATATAAAAAAAACTTTCTATAATAATTCTTTAAAATCTAAATTTAAATATAGAATTTTTAAAAAATAGTTTATTATAGAAAGTTATTCTAAAAGTTTTAAAATTTTAACACTATTAGAAAAAAGAATAGAACTACAGTATATGGTGCATTATGCATTTATTGCTATATCTCAAAATTTTACTAAGATAACCCTGTTGTGTAACTAACAAAAAATGCTTCTCTCACAATTTTACCCTAGCTCAATCCTAACCCTAACTTTATCTTTATTCTAATATTTGCTTATTTGACTATTAACATAAGGTGCACTGTTTAGATTTGTTTCTAGAAAAAAATTAAAATTATTTATTATAAAAAATCATTATAAGTAGTAATATGCAAAATTTCCACAAATTAAATGCTGTGCAATGTAGATCCATCATGTTTGTGGATCTTGCTTAAACCTAATACGTAGAACAATTTGACTAGAAAGCAGCTTATATTAAATGTATCAGGTTATATAGTGAAACTAAAACGGAAAATTAATTACATAATTTGATTATTCACACGCAACTCGGTGGATCATATTTGTTTGAATGTATGCTTCAAATCTAATTCTAGACAGGTCTAATTACTTAAGCTCATTAATTTAATACATTGAAAGTCCAATTTCGCCAATCTTTTATAACGGTATTGGTACTTTAGATTATCTAATGAACTACCAACCAAAGTCATATTAACGTAATTAATGAAGTTCACTCAATGGCATGATATAAATTTGACAAATTGTAACAAGTTTAATATCATACAAAGAAGATCTAGATCTAGATCTCAGATGCATAAAATATTAATTATTCTATTCTTGGCAACCCATTTTCCCGTTTTAGGATGTTTTTCCACAAATATTTCTCCAATAGGACATCATTCCCCGATACCTTTAAAATGAAACACGTTTTCTGTGAAGTGTTCCGTAAGGAAATAGAAATTCTTAGTGCCTTGCCTGAAACACATACTGAATCAAAGACTTTACTTAACGCGTCGTGTATTATAAACGACCAAAGGAAATTCAATATTAAAATGCATATTTTTTATTAGGATAAGATTATAATTTATATGTGAAGTATATATTTTAATTTGAATTCCAATATCAATCAAGCTTTCAATTTTCTTTCTATTCTTCTTTCGTACGCGTATGATTTCACATTTTATATGAATGCTATTTCCTTATTGGGCTGTAAAACGGAACCTTTACAAATTTAATTATATATGAATTTAAGCGTGATATCCTAATAATAATGTAAGCTGAAAGTCCTATAATCTCCATATAAAACAAACATCTCAACCATGTTCGAATAACTAATACTGTAATAACACCGATTAGCATCCATGAAACTATCTCCACTTTATAAAATATAATGTATTATACTGTGAAATATTGGAATAAATTTAATAAATTTCAAGATCATCTAATCTAGATAATCCCAGACTACCAAATATCTATATCTCATCTCAAAATAATAAATAATATTTATACACGCTGTATATGTACACGGGCATATAGAAAGCTAACCAATATCTCAAAATTTTTACTACGAAACCACCTTTCGGCTTCTAACAAAAAATAAAAATTATTGCGAGATTATGTACCTCGCCCCCAATTCCAAATCCACCTAACCATAAACAAGGTTTTTTTTCGGTTGTAAAAATTGGTTTGATTGACATGTTATACGGATTTGTAAATTAACTGTTATACCCATGTACATGGACCCGTGGAGATAATAATTTTTCTAAATAATAAATATAATCTTAATAATAATAAATAAATAATTTATAAATAGATTTAGATATCTCAAGTAAACATTGATAATCGTCAACGTTAAGTCATTACAGCGTTATGTAATGAACTTTATGAGTGCATTACCTATCTGTTATGTTTGTTAAAATTTTTATATAGAATGTACCATATATATATATGTATACTATATATATATATATATATATATTATATAAATATATAACTATATATATAAAAATATATAACTATATAATAACCAACTAATTTATATTTAATATATATACATTTATATATATTTCTAAATATATAATAGAATTCATGCCTATATAGTTATATTTTATTTATGGAAAACAGGTTTATATCATTCAAGTTATAAAGCCTCCTTTGCTTTTTATTTTAAAAAAAAAAATTTTTAAGGCAGATAGGCTCGTAAACGGATAAAAATTGTGATATTAATTAGTATGACAAGTGTCTCCATATGGCTCACCTTTTTAGGAACATGCCAGTACTGTAAAATTTATATTAGTGATTGATAATTAAAAATAGGAAAATGATTTGCGTACATCGGTTTCGTGTAACTTCACGTACATCAATTTTTTTTGGCAAATGAAATTGCAGGACTAGCGATTTTTATTGGCTAAAAAAATTTGATGTATGTGAAACTGATGTACGCAAATCATTATTCTTAAAAATATATTATGCCTACGCTCCAAGCCTTTAGCTTAGTTCTAGGTGCCATCACCCTTTATTATTTGCAGTTTCGCTAGAATTCATCTGGATTATACCATTTTTGGCAATCATTGGCAATCATTGGCAATCATTGGCATCAAACACAGTTAAAAATCAACCGTATTTGAAATATTACACTTGGCTACAAATTGTTGTTTTCTTTTCTTTTTTTCTTTTTTTGTAACAACTGTTCTCTAAGCTTTTTTTCCATGGCACTCCCTTTCTCTACTGATATTGTTCCACTGCATCAGTATAACGGCTCACCATGTCAATATGGGGAGTGCACTGAATGTGGAGAAGTACGAAGGAGTCCCTGCTGGTGTTTTACATGCGAGACTACCAATTTTATAAAAAATTTCGGTAAATGGACTAGTGGAAATGCTTTTTTTGATAATATCATTAGGAATACTCAATCTCACGCGACTGAGAGTATGGCATATTTCGAATGGATACCATATGAAAATTTTGTCCTTGTTGAACAAATAGCGAGTGGTTCTTTCAGTACTATTTATTTAGGTTATTGGCTTGAAGGTCCTCGATGGATATGGGATGAAGAAAGTGAAAATTGGCTTAGAAATGGACCGACAAAATGTGCTCTAAAAAAAATAGGTAATTCTAGCGAAATAAGTAGTGCCTATTTAAATAATGTAGGTTTTTTTTTTAATTCTTCACAATTGTTTTTCCTATATTGTGATATTTTATAATATAAAAAGATATTTTTCGTCCATTTCGGGTTTCGTTTAAGTCTGATCTCATCATTTTCTAATGGTAGGTACGTACACATTTGCTAATATTGCCTGCAAATTCGTTATACAAATTCATTAATTAGAGTACCAATAATTTGATTAGTAATTATATATTATTAAAATAAAATATAGTCGTGTCCCAGGCAAAATTAGTAAATGAGGTAATATCATGAGGTACCAGGACTTAAACGACCCCTTTCCAGTGAATATTTTCATTCGTGACATGTCAATCTGTTAATCCGTGACACTAGATAAGAAAGGTTTTCACATGAATATAACTGAATTTTTTGCATAGTACGTACGTATGTGCTGTAGGTCTGTGCTATAGTCAAAAATTTTCAAAATTTCGATATCGCTATCAAAATTTTGTCGATCATGTCGTGACCAGTCAGACCATTGCCATTAACAAAATTACTATTCTTGATGGATCGGCAGTACTGCTCTTGATGGAAAAAAAAAAAATTATTTAAATGCTATTCCTTGTTTTTTTTTATATATTTTGATATAGTATAGTATTTTAGAGGCTTTTTTTTAGAACCCTATCAAGAACATTATGTAAATCGATTTTTTTCTATGTACCTATTAAGAACAGTATCGACGATCCATCAAGAATGGTATTTTTACCTATCGCAATCTTTCCTGACCATACCCAACAATTAACCCTGCATCAGGCTAACAGATTATAATTTCCAACATGTATTTACGCGACATTTTCTGTTATTGGTCGTGGTTACATCTCATCGGCGATTTAACGTGCTGCGACCAATAGGAACTGCAGAAAAGTGGAAAATTAAGAAACACGTACATTTCCTAGATTGCATAATTACATAAATTACATAAGTCAGTATCAATGTCGTGATTACGTAATGAAAAATTAATTTTTTTTTTCTTTTTGATTACATTTTATATAGATTTCAAATTATTATAAATGCATACAAAGTGGTTCAGTGGCCGATTTCTTTGGAATAACGTGTGACCCTGAGGGTTGCTATATGTTTGTTATGAGATTTTACGAAAATGGAAACTTGTATCAATATCTTGACGATGCTATGGGATACCTTTGTTGGAGAGATATCGTTGATATGCTATGGGGAATTGCTAATGGCCTTGAACGAATTCATGATCATGGACTTTATCATGGTAATCTTCATGGCGGTAATTTATTAGTGGAAAATGAACCTGAATCAATTGATACAAGAATTGCCGATGTTGGTTTACACGGTCCTCCTTCCAGAGAAATAAATTCTATAAATTATGGTGTTTTGCCATTCATTGCTCCTGAAGCTTTAAATGGTAATGAATATACGCAAGCTTCTGACATATATAGTTTTGGAATTATCATGTGGACGTTATCAACTTGTATACGTCCTTTCTGTCAAGTCCCTCATGATTCTGAGCTTGCTTTGAAAATATGTAATGGTTATCGTCCAGAAATAGTTGATGGTACTCCGGAAGTATTTTCAACTTTAATGAAAAAATGTTGGGACAATGATCCAAATAAACGCCCGAAGGCTAGTGAATTAAGTGACATTTTAGGATCTTGGGTAACGGCGATTTGTGATGATCCAGATCCATCTCAAATTTCAGAACAGTTCGATGCCGCTGAAGAAAAAAAGTTTTTAGATTTAGAAAACAAACAATTTACAAAGCCAGAGGTTCACCCTCTAGCAATATATAATAGCCAGCTTATTCATTTTTCGGTCACATCATGATTTGAGCAACATCCCAATCGCAAGGGGGAATTGCTTAAGTACACAACCGTTAATTTACTTCCATTTCGTTGTAAATTGGCAAAACAATTATCGACATTTTTGGCAAAATCGAAAAATCTGATATGACAAGAAATATTTATGCAATTAAGGTTTTTATGATTTCAAATAAAAAAAAAAAACGTTTTTGGATACTATGAGAGGTTTATTATTCGAAAAAGTCAGTAATCGTAATAATATGCTGATTTTAGAATTTATAGTGTCCTTACCTTGCCTTATTCGTATGAAACTAGCGATTATATTATAAAAATTAATTCAGATAAGGCAATGACACTATAAATTTTAAGATGAACTTACGACTACTATATGAATGCTACGTAGAGAAAAACTTAATATGGGTAATTATTTTTAAACATGAACCAAAATCTTAATAATAATGGCGGTTTAAGATATATACCAATATGTATTATAAATTGTATCACAGGCATAGTTCAACCGACCAGCCTGACCCAATAGTGTTTCAGCTTGTGGTTCGTACCATGTCATCACGTGATCACGCGAAATCCGAATAATTTTTGGACTCATACAGCGACGCTAGGATGTCCAGAATTATGCGATGCGATAGGGGAGCGATCGAGTTCAAATTATGCGATGTCTTATTTAGATTTTGTCAATTAGGCGAAATTTTCGGACTTCTTGCTTTCGGAATCTTCACCTGTCAAACACCTCATCCACCAATCACATCTCACCCACGTGCATTTTATGCCTTTTCCTTAATTATGCGAAGCACATACAATGTGAAAAAATAGCAAATTATGCGTATAATTTCACATCGCATAATCCTGGACACTCTAATTGACGCATATATTTTTTGTTACTTTTGCATCTAGTGTTTCTACATTTAGGTTCGGTACGAGTTCAAGTTCAATGAATCTGAACTTGAACTTTTGAACTTGAATCTAAGCTAAATTTAGAATTTATGAATCTAAACTAAACTTGAACTTAAATATTAGTTCAAAGTCTGAGTTTAGTTCAAAGTTCATGAACATTGTTTAGGTTTAATATTTATTATAAAATTATGAATTTTCTTTAGTATAGGTGGGCAATATAAAAATATTATAAAAATATAATATATAAAAACCTTCTATTTTGAGCTAATTTAAACTATAACTCTCACTCTAACCCTAACTATTTATAAATTTGTTTAAATTAGTTCAAATAGCTATTTTTATATACAGTTTTATAATTTTATAATAGAATTTTGTTAACCAACTAGTGGTAATAATCACTGGAGTGCTTATCTTAAAAACGTACTAAGTAAATAGATTTGGGTACTCTAAGTAAAAATGTTTAGAATCTTTAAAAACTTTATAAAAACTAAAATTGGAATCTTTTTTTTTTTTTGGTATTAAGGTGATCTACATTGGCCTGGGAAACTTTTTATTAGAATATAGATGGAGTTTTATATGTAATTACAACGATAGTACATCAAGCCACATGTGCACCTTTTAAGTGCCTAATTTAAGTAGTCCGCCCGAAGGTTCTACACTATCTGCCATACCTGTATCCCAACTAGGGAAGTACCTATTTAAACTATCTGGTTCTAACTGCCGCCTTCAAGACTCTAACCCCGGGTTTACTTACTATTTATGGATAGATTTTGCATCACTCTTGCAAAGGATACACTGACTGCCTTAGGACTTACTAACTATTTTTGGCTAATCTATCCTCGAAGTAAACCTAATAGAGTGATACATGTCTTACACATGCATTCATCTGCATGTTTCGTAATGGCTTTCTAATTAGTACATATTGATCTGCCATTCCGTATTCGTATCTCATGCCACCTTTTGGAGTACTGCCATTCTACAGACATTTCTCAAACACCAACCTTTCTAACTAGGCATCCATTACATACTCATTGCCCTTATCCAGTTCACAACAACCCCAATATCCACATTCAGACCGTCTTCTTACCCGGATTCTTTATTGGTCTCTTCCTTACTTCTAGCCGACAACCTGAAAGGGTTGGTCTGCCCAGGCTTTAAGTGCCTGAAAGACACTCTTCTCTTGGTTCATATTTTCTCTTTTCTTCTAGTACGTCGGCCTAGAGGTTCAGCTAGTGTATTCTCCTACTTAAGAACCTAATTGCTTAGTTCTTTAATCTCAGGCTCTGGTTCGAATTCAGCCCTCTTGTGGCACTGTTGAAGATCACTGCTACTTCCAAATTTGAGACTTGCCAAATAGGTTTTCGGTTATTCTGGTTCCTCAGATTTATTGCGCCAAAGCTTCTATAACTAGATATGTAACTGAGATTACAGATTTAATTCTAGATCCAATTAATAATCGATAACCATAAACTGTAACACAGGCTATTTTTCAAAATTTATCGTTTATGGGATTTGAACTTTAAACTTGCCACTTGGAGAAGGTGACGACTAGTATACTATACTAAGTTGCCACATCTCTATAACAATTATATATAATATTAAACAATGTAGTAATTGATTATAATATATAATTTATATATTAAAATTTATTTTTTTAAAATAAAGTTTTCTACTTTTATCAAATATCTTTTTTTTTTTTTTTTGGTATTAAAGTGACCTTCTTTGGCCTGAGAACTTTTTATAAAGTATAGACAGAGTTTTATAATGTAATTACAATGATGGTATATCAAGCCACACGTGCACCTTTTGAGTGCCTAATTTAAGTAGTCCACCCGAAAGTTCTACACTATCTGCCATACCTGCACCCAACTAGGGGGTACTCATTTAAACCATCTGGTTCTAACTACTTCCATCAGCCCTCTAACCCTGGGTGTACCTCACTATTTATGTATAGATTTCGGATATTACCCAATGTGGATTTCATACCCTACCTTAGAACTTACTAACTACATGGATTTTGTCAATCCCTATCATTAAGACTTACTAATCATATATGGCTAATCTATCCTTGAAGGTAAACCTAACAGAGCAGTACATGTCCCACACATGTATTCACCTGCATGTTCTTATAACTTCTTCCTAATTAGTACCTAGTAACCTGCCGTTTTTCATACCACCTTTTGGAGTGCTGCTTTTCTACAGATGTTTCTTAAGCACCAACCTTTCTAACTAGGCACCCATTACGTACTTCTTGCCCTTATTCAGTTCACAACAACCCCGGTACCCGCATTTGAACCGTCTTCTTACCCGGATTCTTTATCGGTCTCTTCCTTACTTCCAGCTGGCAATCTGGACGGGTCGGTCTGCCCAGGCTTTAGGTGTCTAAAGGACGCCTTCCCCTTGGTCCATACTTTCGGAGCATATGTCCTTTTCCTCCGGTGCATCGGCCCAGTGGTTCAGCTGGTGTGTCCCCCACTTAAGAACCTGATCGCTCGATTCTCTAATCTCAGGCCCCGGTTCGAATTCAGCTCTCCTGTAGTACCATCAAAGATCACTGCTACTTCCAAATTCGGGACTTGCCAAATGGTTTTTGGTTATGCCAGTTTCTCAGATTTATTGCACCAAAGCTCTCATTACTAGATGGTGTGACCGAGATTACAGATTTCTAGATTCAACTAATAATCACAACTGTAAACCGAAACACAGGCTATTTTTCAAAATTCATCATTCATAAGATTTGAACTCTAGACCTGCCACTTGGAGAGAGTGACAACTAGACCACTACACTAAATCACCACACCTCTATTTTTATTAAATATCTGTTTTAACAGGTTTATATTAAAATTATATAATGCTAGTTAGAGTCTAATATGCTTTAATTAAATCTGTATATACAGTATATCTAATAACTATTTATTATTTATTTTTTTTATTTATTAAAAAATTATTTAATTGATAATCTGTGAGTTAACTGAAGAAAATAATCTACAATCAATAAGTAAATATAATGAAAATTAATTAATAAAAAACCTAATTAGAAATGTAAAAATTTATACTATTATTTTTTCTTGAATGTAAACATATGTTTTTTAAACCACTTGCAAATTTACAATTCTTTAACTCTCACTAACTTTTATAGAACTTATTTATCTACTAATTTACTTTTCTAGTTTAATTATTATACTAGTTAAAGCTTACTCATCTACTAGTTAGATTCTACCAAGTTTCATAAAAACAATCTAGTTTAGATTTGGATCCCTACTTGCTAGTTTAAATCTCATAAGTCTTATACAAACAACCGCTAGTTTAGATTCATATCCAATACAAATATCTAAAGTTTAAAGTTTTGGGTTTTAAGATTTACATTTATATATTCAATTTTAAATAAAAATAAGATAAAAAAAACTAGAATTTATTTGAAAGCTAATGCTAATATATATTTATTAAATTGAAATTATACTAAATAGACTTCGGGACTAAAGTTAGAGTTTAAAAGCTATATATTTTTCAAAGTGCTCCAAACACACCACTAGAGTGATTCAGAATTAATATATTTTAAAAATAAGTATTTTTTTGATATATTATATATATAAAAAAATCAGATCACTAATTTAATTTGAAAAAAAATCTGAATATTAATTCTGAATCACTCTACTATCTCTTCGTGTGTTAAGGAGTTGCAGGCAAATTTGCCTGCAAAAAGTTATATAAAATTTTTAAAAAAATTTTTTTATAATACTTTATTTAATTTTTTAATATAGTATTTTTTTAGATTTATATTTTGTTTTTGAATGATAAATTTTTATAAATAACTATATTTTATATAAATTTATACAAAGTTAAAATTATCTATTGTTATAAAATTAAGAAAATAATTTAAGTTTTAAATTTTAAAAAATTTTTTAAATAAATTTAGTCCCTCAAATTATCATTATAGTTTTTATTTTAAATTTACTAAATATAAAAAAATTAACATTTTTCAAAAAAAAATTGGTTAAAGTTGGTTTAATGTATTATATTTATGTATATTAAAATTATTATTATTATATTAAAAATCTTAAATATTGAATAACTTTTGATCTACTAAACTGTTTTGGATGATTTAACTACCAAAATGATCGCCTTAGTGAGACGATTCTAATGAATCCAAAATTGATAAAATCCGATCACAGGATCCTAAGATCGATAAAGATTTGTAATATAAATAAACTATCATCGATCTTATGATTCTGTGATCAA